TGATCTCCTTAAATCTAAAGTCGGTGGCCCACGCGAAAATGGCATAGCGGTAAGCGACTGACAATAATAGTAAATCCGGCGACGACGAACATCTACAGTCAGCCAAACTGGAAGATCTAAAATTTATGATGCGCTCAGATGTATCATTAAGATTACCTTTATGCCGTTTTATCCATAACCCTCGCTTTCTCGTTACGATCGAAGAAAATCAAAAATGATGTGCGATTGAATTTGCGGACATGGTATGTCTGGTGGACGGAATATGGATGTCTCGTTTTGACTCGGAATTTCGGTCCGATAGCGCCTAATAATCAATAAGCTAAAAGTTTTAACAATAAAGGAGAGGATGACACCTGGGCTGCAAATGGCGATTCAAGTCTTCCTTATCCTTTCTGGAGCATCACCCCTAGAAAACCGCACTCCATCTAGTATTTTGTATATCCGTAGGGATTTAAAAAGCCCATTATTAACGGCAAGGATGCTTTACATTTTGTAACGCCCGTTTCCCTTACTATGAATTTGCTTCGAGAACAAAAAACGGCATTTGCATGTTTAAAGAAAGCATGTTATAAGTCTTTTACTTTAACACAATAACCCGCACATGAGGTAGGGGGAGCAGACATGGAGGAATCCTAGAAGCTGAACAGTTTACATCCACATTCTAAACCTTTCGAAAAGCAGAATAGAAAACTCAGTTCAATGGTAAATTCGTCCTACGAGACTGCGCGAATTCGGCCTTTTACTACAAAATATTCTGCAACACTGAAGATCACCAAACCCAACAATCTTGTAATACTGTACAAAAAACGACTTTCGTTCCTCTTTAGCCGCTCAGGCGTGATTAGATGCGGTATATATAAGCACATGGCAAAATTTAGGTGGAGATTCGAACAAGACGTGAGGAGACATCACGTCACGAAGACTAGGGTAGATTTCGACGTCGAGCACAACCGATTATTAGCAATCCCATCGGAAACGATGACGAAACTAATTATCAAATAAGTCGACAAAATTACTAAGTTATAACTCTACAGATTGAAAAGATTTACACCAAATGAACAGCTGAACGCTATGAATCATACTTCACATCGTTATCTTAGATTCGTACTGGCGATATCTACCGAAATTGCAACTACTCGCCGATTTGTTTGTAATTTACCAAAGAAAAAAGGCATTCCAGAACAAAAGTACAAAATCACTGGTAACTCTACAGAGTAGTAACCATTGTGATCTACGCCAATAGAGAACTAACCATGCTCTGTATTAAGTACAGCCTGGCACCAGGATTCCTGTAAAATCAGTAAAGGTTCTCTTTAAAAATTGCGTAGTTTTTCAGTGGAGGTGCAGCGTTCGAATTTAAGCAGAGGACGCAAAATCATAGACTTGAAGGCCCCAAAAGAATTCCACAGACGAATTTTCTGAAGAACCTGTTTCAACTTAAAACGCCAGCCTATTGGCAATTTAAAAATTATTCGAGATAATTTATAACTAAACAAGGTATGTATGGAAATAAAACATGTAATGAGAGAGGTTTTAATTTAATCTGGTGGAGTTAACATTTTATTTTTGATTTCAACAAGTATTTGTTTTGGTACTAGAGCCGTGTGAAATGTGAATGCAGTTTTACACTAACTTCATACTGGTTCAATCGACAGATGAAAAGGACCAATTCTGCTACACTAAAGAAAACCAGGTTCTTTTTGGGGACGTTGGAAGTTGGACGAGTTTATACGGAATCGGATGTCGTTGACCTTAGGGTTTCCGGTTTTTTAAAAAAGATCAGTTACACACCCTACTAAAATACGCTAGTTTTAATGGGTCGTTACTCTCTAAGAAACATTGAACGATTAGAACGATACTCCAATATGCCATTTGGCATATGTTCAAACTCTTATAGCCTTATTAAACTATCCAAATATTTCAAATGATGTAATATTACCGCAGCAAACGCAATATGTTTTACATAAATCGAAAACAGAAATATGAGATTTGCCTCGGTCAATAGTATAAAGTGATGATAAACAGAATATTTTTATGAGCCTGATGTGCTTGCTTACATTCCGAATACAACAGTGGTAGATGAGAGCGACTAAATAAGACTGAAACACAGATGGTCATGAGGAAAGAAATAGAGTGTGTTGCATTATGTTAAGTAGGCTTACGTGTTTCACAAATGTCCTCTTCCTCAACCAAATAAGTTTCTAATTTACTTTACAATGGCAAGTGTATGTTTTACGTAAAATTTGGCATATCTTGTGGTAAAATTGATGGCGTAATGAATATAACGTTCAGCTGTTCACTTGACTCTCCCAAGGCATTAGGCAATAAATTCGCATATGAGGAAGATTCAATTTCCTTTATGACCCTTCCTTAAATCGTCCATAACCATTATCTGTAAGAAATAGATAGCTCCAGTAAACAAAGTGCACACAGTCTATCAAAATGCACCTCGTTTAGGAGGTTCAAATATTTGTAAAATAAAAACACAATTGTTCTGGCTGTTTATGCATATCTGTCTTGAGTGTCGCCAAAAGACGACGATACTTCTGTTAAAGGGAAGTTCTTGTTCCACGCAGCAAACTACCCCGGTCGCGTTTATTAGGTATACTCTCGTGTTAAGTTGTTGGGCAACCTCACACAGCGCATCACCTTATAACGTCTTTTATCTATGCGATTACTCTGAAAAGTTTAAACGATATCCTCATTGCCTTCATCAGCCACATCACAAACGATACGGAAGATAAAAATCTGGACTTGCAATTCTGCATACATTTGAAAAGTTTGTTAACATCGAGGGGATGACTGGCTGCCGAATCGCAGTTGACACAAACTTATGACATGTGCCTAGTTGAGCGACTATCTATAACGGTTTTTGAACATTGTTGTCAGTACGCGTATTCTGCTAAACCTTCGTTTTATGGATATATTGGTGTACTTCCGAAGTGAGCTGCCATAACTGAATAGGTGTTATCAAGCTATAAGCAGTCTTTTACATTAGATGTGCTAACTCATGAAATGTCAACCGAAATTTAGAAATGCGTTCTCGTTTCGAAAAGATAAATTAAGTATTAATGCAAAAGTGATCATGATGCAGCATAAATCTATAATGATCCAGTCACCACAGAGTGTCGGCTTTCAAAAGAACTTGTTTTCGGCTGCATGCAAGATCTATACTCCGCAAAAAATGACTACTTAAGTAGTATACAATTTTCTCATTGATTTTCGATGCCCTCGAAAATTCAATTATATTTCATGGAAACCATGCAAAAAATATTCATTCTTTTACTTATTCGGTAGAAAAGCACGTCTTCTTCTAATTTTATACTCAAAAGAAGAGTATAATTCGGTTTTAAAAAACTTTTCTAGTTCCTGAATAATTTTGAACCTGACCTGCTGTAACACTTGCATTCAGGGTTTAAAAACTACAAGCTGTATATTTTCCGTGTACGGAAAACCATGCATATCTCTACGGTGTTAAGAGGCGACCATATGCGGCTCATTAAATTAAGCAGTGGATTTGAGCAATATTGTTAACTTTACAAGCCACATTCGTCAATGCAGATACATGACGTTTCATGAACGGCCATTTAACGGTATTAAAAAATCTCACAATTAGAAACTTTCTTAAAATCGAATTATACTCTTTTTTGAGTATGAAGTTGAAAGAAGACGTGATTCTCTACCGAATAAGTAAAAGAATGAATATTTTTTGCATGTTGTCCATGAAATATAATTGAATTTTCAAGGGCATCGAAAATCAATGAGAAAATAGCGTGCTACTTTAGTAGTCATTTTTGCAGAGTATAGATCTTGTATGCAGCCGAAAATAAATTCGTTCGAAAGCCGACACCCTGAGGTAGCTGAATGATTACAGACTTATGCTAGATCTTGATTAGTTTTACAACACTACTTAATTTATCTTTTCGGAACGAGAACGCATTTCGAAATTTTTGTTGACATTTCATGAGTGAGCACATCTACTATATGTCGAAGAACATATTTAATGCACTTTTATGCTTTTGCACTGAACATAGTGCATATTTATTTTGGTTCTTCTGACACTGCAACAAAGGCGTTCCGAAAGGCAAAGAGCCCTTTAAAATTTCTACACATCGCACTACTTCTGCCACTCCATGTTCTCCTCCTTGACTTCTGGAGTATACGAACCAGTGTTTGCGCTGAACATTTGTATCAGTTGACTAGAAGCACTCCTACATGCTAGATAGGACTTTCCGCCCTGACCAATTTCCGTTTATTTTGCGTTTGAATACACAGCAGCTCGTGCATTCAGCTCATGTTCACTATGCTTTCTATAATGCCGTCAAGCTGTCGAATTCTTAAAAGAGTACTATCAGAAATCCTCACCTATATTTCTTAGTTTTGAGGCCGGTCAACGATGCAAATTCGGAGCTGAGTATCTATGAATAGAAAGCCCTGAGTAAGTTAGACTACACTAAGCTTTATAGAGTCATCGAGAAAGTTGGTGTGAATATTTAGGTCGAAAACCATCAGCCACCTTGGAATGACTGCGTAATATTCATAAACTGACAACATGAATTTAGTAGTAGTATGCTCATGTTACATGATTTATCGCATTGAATATTACTCGAGTCTTCCGCTGTAGCTGATAGCATTCAACCTAAATATTCATATAAACTCTCGCACCGAGCATATAAAACCTAATTTCGGCTGATTTCCCTCAAGTCTGGGTTTTTAGCTACTACCCGTGTAAACTTTTAACAACTCATATATCCTCTGACTTCTGCCGTGTACTTATGTTTAAGATAAGAGGGAAGGGCCATCGCATACTGTTATGGCTGCGTACCCAAAGTCTTGTTGAGTCGAAAATACTAGATGTTATTCTTATCTAACATGATGTTAACAACTGAAATCTAGAAACAATTATACTAGTCAACATTTTCCCATATTTATTCTAATCGTCAGTAAGTTAGTATTACTGTTGCATTTTCAGTTTTAACTTGCAACATATGGTAGCATTTTTACATTTCATCATTGACGCTTATATGCTCAATCAGTAAACTTGCTGGTCGAAGCGGTGAGGCAAGTTCGAGGAGGCAGAAGTTAGGAAGAAGGCGTGAGCGCTGTAACCAGACCATTGTCCGACGTTTCGCATCCACATTAGGGCCCATAATTGAAGACAGAATCAGATAACCGTACTGTTTTGCAAAGTGACGCAGTATTTGCAGGGCGTAGTTGCTATACCACCAAATGCTGTTCAAAATTGACGGATCAGCCATGGGCCCAAACACCAAAATTGGTTCAACAGAGGGTGACTGAACAAGCCTGTGAACAAAGAGGGATACCCGATGCAGCATTGACGAGAAAATCCTGAATGTCCCGAATGTCAGATGAATAAAGCTTTTCTCCCAACAATCATGTTTCCTTCCAGACTGTAGATTAGATGTTTTACAGGACGTGAGTAGTAATAAATAATGTGTGTGTACGTTGAAATTTCACCTTTACTTCTGCACTAACTTGAAGTAGAAGGATATTTACATTTAAGGTCCTGCTGTAATTTAGGAGATTCTGCGATCTGCCGAGTGCACATCTTACAAAATGAATATCAGGCATTTCAAGTTCCTGGCCTATGGATCTACAAAAAACAACTTCGGCCAGTCAATTCCTCGGACGCATAAAGGATCTATATTTGAAGCCTGGTGAATAAACGATGTCTGTCAGTACTGTCTTGATCATCGTTACGTGGTAAGGGTATGGTTTATGCCTGGGATTACTTACTCTAGGGAGCAGTTATGTTGAGGAAATGCGTCGAACACCTAAGAACTTTGTGGTATCAGAAATTGTGATCCTTCACAATGTCACAAATTAAGTAACCCCGGGTACAAACCATACCCTCATGATTACTGTTCCGCCGGAGCTACAAATAGGCATTTAGGGTAAACTTCTGACTAAGAGTTAGGATGAGGTATACAAGGCATCAGAATGCGAATACTTTCTAGATTCTCTACGATAATACATTAAAAATATTTTAATTTTGGTGGGTGAATAAGGGAGGCAAGATAAATTTACAACTTTTACGCCTTCTATTGAGATTAATTACTAAAGGTCGTGTTTTAACGGACGGAGTATTTGGTGTTTATAAATTATCCGCGAATAACGGAACCGGCTAGATCGAAAAACAGTTTGTCACCGCCAATACACATTCCATCATAAATCTGAGGAAATTACTGATGTGACAGATTAGCGTATCTTATTTACGACAAAAACAGAAATAAGCTAAAAATCTTACGTTTATTCGCGTCCTTCTGCGTCGATTTACAGCCTGGGAACTGTTAATTATATTAATCAGGAAAACCGCCATCTGCAGGCAAATATTTTACTCCAACTACAGCCACCCTTTACATCGCAAACCAAACTCTGTCTACACCCTGTTCCAAACTGTTGAAGCAAGCTCAAGTACAGCAAAAGAACTGAGGGACTATAGTTACGCAAACTTTTTCAGGGCCAGAGAGCACCCAAATCATATTATGACAATTCGACCGTCGATTCCGACGTTGTCTGTCGTGTGTTTCACAGAAAGACGAAGCTGCTACGACGACTTGCGCGCGAATTGGTTTATAATGGGAGTAGACGTGCGCAGAATCCACCGTACTCTCTCCTCTTCCTCACCCACCTGGGTTTGGTGTCAAGACATAGTCAAGAAGACCGGAGGTGGGAGAGGGCACAGAAGACTGACACGGCGGAAAGAACCTAGGCGTACTGGCACATCCTCTGGTCCATAATTTAACACTAGACTAGGATTTTAACCGACAAGAAAAACGGATGACACAAGTCACTAAGCGACCATGTACATGACCTGTGTAGCCAGTGGGAGCGCAAGCGTTTCTGCCGACAAGGAAAAAAATGCGGGAGAACTGCCAGCGCACACCAGGCTGCGGGGGCCATGGTTTGCTGAATAATTGCATAGCAGACGCACACAATCCTGTAATTCCAGAAGGGTGCAAGGCAGCCCCGCATTCAGCCTGGACCATCGTCCTCTACATTGACGAGCGAAACAAATACACATCAGCATTAAAAATGGGATGTACAGTGCATGACCTATCTCATGAAATGTTGGCTGAAATTCTGAAGTGCGTTTTCGATTAGGAAGGATTACTTGGTCGTGGTTGTGATACTGATTAGCTTAAGGCATACTCTTATAACATTTTGGACGCGGCAGGATGTCGGCTTTTAAATGCACTTCTTTTCAATCTCCTGTAGGAAGCGTGCTTGGCAAAAAATGACTACTTAAGTAGCACGCATTTTTCCCATTGATTTTCGATGGTCATGGAAATTCAAATATATTTTATAGAAACCACGAACAAATATGCTTTTTTTAGTCAATCAGTAGAGAATCACGTCTTCTTTATATTTTATTTTTAAGGAAGGAGTATAATTAGGTTTTAAAAAAGTTTCTTATTATGAGACTTTTTAAGACCGCGATATGTCCATTCACATAGCATCGTACCTGGCCGTTTACCACTGCTCCTAGTGAAATGTACAACATCGTCCGCATCCATTGCAAAATTTTATAGACCCTGTATGATATCTCTTTAATGACATAGAAGAATATGGGATTTTCTTTACGCGGAACGCATGCACCTTGTAGACTGAAATCACTAAGCGCTAATGCAACGAATGATCAGGCTCCAAATTGTTCGGCAATTAGAAAACTTTTTTAAAACCTAACTATACTCCTTTCTTAAGTATAAAATATAAAGAAGACGTGATTCTCTACTGATTGACTAAAAAAAGCATATTTTTGTTCGTGGTTTCTATAAAATATATTTGAATTTCCATGACCATCGAAAATCAATGGGAAAAATGCATGCTACTTAAGTAGTCATTTTTTACCAAGCACGCTTCCTACAGGAGATTGAAAAGAAGTGCATTTAAAAGCCGACATCCTGCCGCGTCCAAAATGTTATAAGAGTATGCCTTAAGCTAATCAGTATCACAACCGCGACCAAGTAATCCTTCCTAATCGAAAACGCATTTCAGAATTTCAGTCAACATTTCATGAGATAGGTCACGCACTGTACGAACGGTCATGGTAGATATGGTTGAGACTTATGAAGCAGCTGGCCTGCTGCAAAACAAATCAAATTATTTTCCTGAAAACCACTAAGATTTACAATTATGCTCTGGAATTGGCGTTTAAAATATGCCCAATCATGCGACAATCGAACAGAACTTCCAACATCGTTTTGCGAAATCCCAGTCTTAAAATGCAAACTAGTAGACATACTGGAGAAAAAGCTTATTACACCGGGAGAAAAAACATATTTATAGTTCATGTTATGGCCATTCCACCCAATTGAAGATGGAACAACAGGTAATGTTTTTTTTCAGACAGATGGGCGGAGGAACTCGCCATTAGTTAAATCCTTATAACAAATTGAACGTAGAAAAAACTTTATTCCCTTTTATGACTTAATAACACTGCCTCCGAAGACAGTTACAGCGACCCTGATAGGGTTAAAATCCTTTTACAGAAGTACGATTGTTAGTCGCTATGCATTAAACTACCTCTCCGTCTGTCATTAATATGTGACTGGAAAGATTTAGATTCCAAATACAGATCAGTTCAAAGGGAAGCAGACAAAAAACTGCTGATAGAATCGAACAGTCGAGTTCTAGGAGACAGTTCAGAAGACGAAGATGCGATTACTAGAACAAGAAATTTATTGGTCTGACGTTCGGGATTCTCACTTGAACCCATCATCAGAGACAGTCGTATATAAGGGTACTGGTGGCACAAGGAGTTCAGTATTTCGAGCACGTGGCTGGCGTGGGACCATATGTTTACTGTAATAAGCAGCTCTCGCATTCACCGCTGAAGTCGTAATTGATGTGATGGTGAATTGTCAGTCCGCGTCCGAGTCGGTAATGGCCGCGATTTTATCAGCAGTGTCGGATACTGGTGGGACGATTGCTCGGCAAATTGGCTCACTGTCACTGAAATACATGCTCGCCAGCGCCCTCCCCACGTGGTTTATTCCCCTGTCCAGGGAAAATCTCAGCGCAGCATAAGGTACGGGAGGTCATTGCGCTTGTTGATAAATTGTAGGCCTGAGAACCATGACTCAAGCGGCTCGCGGCTTACGCGACTGTCATCCCTTGTGAGGATTTGGGCCTCCTAAAACTTAAAAATATGGCCAGCGTTTCCCCATCTCACTGCTGCCGCGTGCTCAACAATTCGCGTACGGAGTGATCTCCCAGTTTCTCCGACGTAGTTGCTTTTTCTGCAACTGCACCAGAACCGGTAAACGACTCTAAACGTTTCCTGCCGTGGCAGTGGGTCTTTCGGCCTCATGACTTGGCGCCTAAGGGTTGCTTCCGGCCTGTGTGCAATCCCAAATCCATGTGGAGTGAGAAGACGACAGACGGCTTCCGAAACGTCTTTCACGTACGGAAAAGCCCGCCAAAATTTGTGGCCGGTTGGATTTGGTCTCTGGTGTCGTTTTCGTATGTATTGGTTGACAAAGTTGCGCGGATAGCCATTGACTCTCAGTACCCGTCGAACATATTGTAATTCAGCAATCTTTGTCAACCAGTACATTGCCCATTCGCCTGACGACGAGCTGGAGCACCAGTTTCCAAAAAATTATGTACTGGAGTCATCTTGCTTGCAAGGCATCTGATGTCTTTCTAATTTTATTTATATTTAGCAACATGCCATGGAATCTGGCATATTTGGTAGAGACTGGAATTTCGGAAAAGACACGTCCCACCTAAGGATTTAGGGCTTTCATTGACAGTACTATTTGTGCTGAGCGAAGGCATCGAAGTCTACTTGTCACACAAGACTTGTCCTGCAATTAACCGTTGGTAGTTATCATACTGCTTTACAGAAGCCCTTCAATCTTTAGGAATAATTAGCTGAAAGGGCTGATCTTGGTCCTGCCTCATTCTCTCACACAGACGGAAGCAAAGGGCATAAGATAATGCTCAAATAATACAGTGTATGTGGTGTAAAATACTAACATTGACAATCGTAATCTATGAAGGAGACTTGCGATGTAATTTTACTCAAAAGCTCTCCTTCCTCGAAATCATTATGTAAGAACATAGCCGAACAAGACTATTTTTTTAAAGGAACCAAAGATGTCGCATCGATGCGTAGAATAGATGCTAAAGTAAATGCGATGGTCTCAAATAACTTAATTTGACTAAATGTTGGTTGATAATCAGCTGCAAACACTTTTGTTGGGCCTGTGTGTTTAACCGAAATCCACTGAAAAAATTCACCGGAAAAATTAATTTTAGCTTGAGTGACAACAGTGCTGTAAGGCCAACGTTTTTCAATTACGTACTAGTGGCAGCTGCACTTAGTTTTTGCATTTTTAAAATTGCTATTGAAAGGTTTGGGCTGACCTTTACTAATACTTCTAAGTGTCTTCTCAAGATATCCCCCTATGAATTATTTAATTGAGCGAGCGTAAATGTATAGGTAACTGAGAAGCCTTTTTCTGCCCTTTCTGTGCTGTTGTGTGAGTATAAAGTGCGACTCACGCGAAACCCATCCTATTATGGTTTTATCAACGACGGACGACCATTAAACGATTGCTGTACCGGTTTAGCGTACGGAAATTGTTAATCAGGCGAAAGTTATTTAATTGAGTAACCCTGCAGGACTTGCCTCGACGAATGGAAGTCTAAAATTAGGCCCTTGCTATGCAAACAGCACCGTGTGTGCCAAAAGGTAAGCCTTAGATACTCACCAAGCGTTAGCTTGATCAACTCGCGTCAGATTTCTCATCGATCTGCCGTATTGTTAAACTGATGACATGGTGCACGTCGGCTAAACAACTGAATGCCGCAATACCACACCCTCGAACGTGATATTAAAAAGCCTGTGTTCTTATCGCAAAGCCGATTGGAGAACAGAAACTGTTACCTTTTCAGTCAATGCATTAGCGCTAAGCAGTTTTTGCAACGAAACTGGTCTTAAATAAATGAGAGACCGAGGTACTCGAAAATCTTACCGTTGTGCAAATAGGACGTTTTGGTTTATTTGACTTCTATGTAAACAGGTGTAAACAATGTCGGTCGTCATTTCGTTGAATATTTTTACTGAGAAAACCGTTTAGAAATGAGTGCCTTAAGCAGTTTCCTTTTACATGTAAGACGAACTAGAGCCGTTAAGCTGATAGCAAAACAAGATATTAATATGAGTCCAAGACGGTCTCAAACACGAATACTGTGTTTGGCAGTACTCCAAGGGTCTTCTCATTGCTAATCAAAGGAAGTTCACCCAAACGTCCACTGCACTTTTTTTTGCTAAAAATGTACCAGCTTTAGTGAAAATGAAACAACAAAATTGAGTCCCTGGAAAACGTTGTACAGATTTTGCGTGTTTTGAATTCTTTTAATTTGTTAAACCTTCAATAATAGAAAGCAACACATTTACTTTTCCAGAGATAATACACACTACCATGCTCTTGAAAAATAGGTAGAATAAACGTTCGCACACTGAGACATCTTGTAAGTGACAGTAATCCAGATGGAAAACTTGCAGGAATATTTACTAGTCCCCGACTAACGTAATCATCAGAAAATTAATGAATTCGCAAAGCCGCAGATTTATAAAAAGAGCTCATTTAGTGCAATTGGCCATATGTTCAACTACATGATACAGCTACTGTTCAGACAAGAAAATGGCTTTCTGAAAACGAGTACTCACATGCTTATCGTGTACAGAATGGAAATACTTAGAACTTCTGAAGTAAATCAACCAAGCAATTGTTCTCGAGACAAAAGTATTTGTTCAACGCTCGAAACCTATCTGGGAACAAAATGTATACGTAAACATACAATTTCCTACTGGCCACTCCAGCACACCCAGATTTTAAAATATAGAAAGAATAACAGGTACTAAACCATGCTGCTACAAGATTGGTCTTTGTTTTAAAGACATGTACACAGCAATTAGACCAAAGAAACTACATTGGCAAAATATAGCGGCAGCAGCAGCTTCTTCGACTTTGCCAGTCCTACGTTAGGTTAGTGCTCATCATTAACAAAGTTGATAAATGATCATGAATGCCAGACGGCCAGTCATATGAATTGGACAGAAAATAACGCTGACATGACTACTCAAATGTAAAATCAGCAGTTCCCGAGAGTTCAGGCAATCCAAAACTCCCATGACGTTTTTATGTTTGTTAAACACATAAGTTGTTATTTTCATGCTTAGGTAAAATTTTGTGAAAGAAATCAGATGGTAGTAAGAAAACTAGGTGTCAGTGAAGTTTTCCGATAAACCATGCTAATTTGTTAAGCGTTTGTACTTATATTTGTCACTACTTAATAAACGAACCAGCAGTTCGCTGATTAACACAATATAGCAGCCCAAAATGAAGTTAATTTAACGTAAAAATTTTTGGCCAAAGCTTTCATTGTGTGGCTGTATGACCAGCTGGTCGCCATAGATTTGCCGGCGGCAGTAAATACTGTCATACTGCTAACCAAGCCGTAAGTCCTCACTGTCCTTAATTACACAACGAGTCAATTTTTATTTTTCAAAGTCGTTATTGTCATTTGACTGAAAAATCCCGAATGCATAAAATAAATTAGAAGACACCCCGTTTGACTAAAAAATCTGCAATCTAGGTACCAGGATGCTTTAACAGAAAAACGTACATTTCCTTAGACAATAAGTGGATGATTAAGGGACAGGCAAGATGTTACAAGAGGATATTTCGCCTAAAAAACTAAAGTCCATTTGTACAAGAATAGATTTCCAAACACCGCTAAAATGACGCAAGATCACAGCCTATAAAAATACACCCAGGGATCGATCTTGTGGAATGGTAAACAAAACTATAAAATGCGTTTTCGAATAAAAATGAATAACTAAAAACAGTTGAATAATAGATACTCATGCAGCGCAGTCCTATAATACTTCAACCACGCCAGAAAGTTGGCTTTTGAATACGCTTCTTTTGCGTCTGCCTGCGAGAATCAGACTAGGTTTAAAATGTCCACTTACTTAGTATGTACTTTTTCCTGCTGATTTTCGATGTCTTTATAAATTCAGAGATGCTCTCCAGAAAACACAGAAATTATTTTGTATATTTATCTAGTAGAAACTAACATCTTCTCAATTTTTATAGGCAACGGAGAGGCATGTTAAGGTTTTGAAAGCATTTTGTGATACCCGAGTATTTTTGAGCTTGATCTTAAATATCTCATGATAAGAAACTTTTAAAGTAAAGGATACCTCTTTTTCTCTTTTGCCTTGAAATGCATCATTTCGGCCATTGCCGTTTTATTTATTTCAATAGGCCACCTTAGATCAACTTCTTTGAACACTTTTAATTTACGATATAGGAAAACGCCATGTAAGTAGCGCCTGTCAAACGTTAAGTCGGAGGTTAGGTGTTTCCCACAATTGCTTAAAGGTACAAAAAGTTGTGTTTCTTGGGCTGCTGGCATAAATTTTTAAACGTTTTACTACTTTAACAAAATGAGTACTGGAGCCGAGTCTGCCACCCTGATATACGATTTTACGGAAGGGCGTTTCGGATCTATTCCAAAAACATAGCCACACAGTTGTCCCACCTTAGGACATCAGACATTAGCAAAATAACATAATGGGCTTGGCGCTTAGTGCATATAGGTAGATACGGCCTCTTTCTATGAGAACCTAAAAGGCAGTATAGTTCGCTTGTAAGAGTAAATTTTATGAACTTCAAACAATCTTTATTGGCACCATGGGGTTGACTTCTGACCATTCCGAGGGGAAAGGTAAGCATTCATCTCCTTTTTATAATATTTTTTCTAACAACTTACTTTAGCCAATGCAAGAAGAGTAAGTTCCGGAAAGGGATACAAGGAGTAACGTGTTCGGGATAAGTGTGTGGTGGCACACCGAAGTGCGTCTCCGGCCGTGCCAGTCACCTGCGCACTCCCCACGTCACCAGTCTCTTTTACTCTGTCTTGACAGCGGGTCCAGGTGGCGAATGGGAACGAGAGAGTGCGGTAGATGCTGCGCAAGTCTACCATCACTTTAAACTGCTTCACGCGCAAGTCACCGTCCCTGCTCCGCCTTGTTTTGGGGTAGACGATGGACACCGTCGGCAACGACGGTCGAGCTGTCGTGCAATTCTGAGTCTGAACAAACAGTGAATCAATCTCGTCATAAACGAAATTCCAAGGACGTTTGTTATGCTAGGTGGTATAAAACCTGGAACATGATGACCGACCTCCAGATATTCGGGCAGGGAACCTAACAAATTGTTTTTCATTTGCTAAGTTGACGCATTGTTCAAAATATTGTTCTCGTAAGGGATATGTTTCCGAGTTTTTTTATTAACAAGCACGTTTTCATTCTGCGCAGAATTTGACGCTAATTTATATTTAAATCATTTCCGAGTTTCCTAATAACCGATAATGTCATGTGTTTTTCTAATAGAGCACAGTGATCTAATCCATAAACACTTAAGAATAAACTTCGTGCGCTTCAAATTTGATTTTTTAAATTTGCATATGTAAGGTGAGAGAAGATGACTGAAAGAGCATGACTTGGAAATTTGAGTCAAGTATCGGGAAATTTTAGTCACGTTAGACCGACTTCCAGGTACCTAGACAGAGCGCAGGGCTGACGATCCGACATTGTCTTTTGCAAATTAAAACGATAAAGGAAAAGCGGGTTGAGGACTGCTATAAAGATGTTAATTCATTCACAGGAGTTTGAACCCTCACAGGATTTTGCAAAACTTAAAACTAAACCTGGGTTTTGCGACGAACCCTTACGCAGACCGGCCACTCAGGAAGTACTCATCAACAGTCATAGCATCAAATGCAAGTAACGAAGTGTATCTTCCATTTGGATTGGGGGTTTAAAAAATACCTGCTTATTATTGTTTTTCCTACAACAGTCATGCTTAAAACATTTTCCTCTATTATCACTCGCTCTTCCCAGAGGTTGAAGAAACCTCGGCGTCTAAAAAGTAGTTATTTAGACTAGGCAAGACGATTAAAACAGTTCTAATTCGTGCCACACGAACGGCACGGGTATTAGCTAAAAGTTCAGGCAAGTGTTTTTCCAAAATTGTGCCGCTGCACGAAACATTTGTGAGTGATTAGGATCATTAGCAGGCCTTCAGCGTCCTGTATGTGCTTTCTGAATAAATTAGCTGCATTTTGTCCAGCTGGTTTATGTTCTGTAATTTACGACAGAATTTATTTAATTTAAACAAGTTAGACTTACAGGCATCCGTACTCGACTAAAATAGCATGTTCTTAATATTCCGTTTTCAACTCAAAAAATCGAATATTGGAACATCGAATAAGGTACACTATGACGTAATTATTAACGCGAGTGCGATTCATGCGCACTATTCTAAGATAATAAAGGGAACATATATTAAACCATGTCCCCGAAAGACAAATAAAAGAGGACACTTAATGGGTTCTAGACTGAATCAGCAGCACTCACCTTACGTCAATGCTATGCTGATGAAGAATAATAAATCCAATTAACCCTTGTGATACACAGATCAAAAAAAATTAGAACAGCATATATTATCGCACCGTATGTATTTAGTCATCCGTGTGTGCTAATAACTAACAGTTGTTTCTTTCGTACGTCAGCGATTATAACAGTTGCGGAATTCTTAGTCTCCTCAAACCTAAAAGAAGCAGTTGATGCAAATTCCATGGTCAAAAATGAGAAGCGGTTTGAAGGTTGCTGGACTGCAATTCTATCCTTGCTTCTTCCCTCCGTTTCGTCGAACCCAGGACCCTCCATTAACC